CTGTTGTGTCACTGAAGATCATCATTTTGTTTCAACATTTTATTTAAATTTTACCAATATTCTTTAAATTTTCTACAAAGGTAAGACAATCTGCAATTTCCAATTTATCTGACACTATTTTGCCGACAAGATAAAATATATGTAAGACATATTTCAGCTCAATTTACGAAGGAGTATCGGAGGAAATAATTTCAACTTTGATAAAACTAATATAAAAACGCACTATTTATTGAACGTGTATGATTACATCGGTTATAATAGATGTTATTCGCAAATGACCCTCGAAATCACGTGATGTGTTTTTGCCCATTCAAAATGTTTGGAACAGTGGACTTTATGGCAAGGAGAATAACACGCTATTTATATGGGCCAAAACAGTCCCGTGGCTCTCTCGCTTTAAACGAGATTTCGGAAAGCCGTTTGCGAATAAGTTCTATTGTGTTTACATTGTCAGTGGAGTTTACATCATTATGCCTGTTTTTGGCTCTCTAATTCGGTAAAGACATTTCTATCTAAAACGATCGCAACTAATTCAAGGGGCGGAAGTCGTCGCGCCGCGTCCTGTTCGATATGGGACTCTTAGTGACTTACACAACGCGTATGAAATAAATTGTTTGTCCACCTGAAATTCGAATGCGCTGCACGACGACCGCCCCCTTTAAGTTTAGAAAAACTTCTCTTTCAGAGGGAAATGTTTGATTACTGATGTCGCCCAAAGGATTATCGTGTCAAGCAGGGAACTATGTGCGTATAACATTTACTAAATTAATCTCATTAGTTATTGAATATTAATTAAAATTACATTTTTCAACAGATGTGTAACCAACTGCGGGTACAAGGTGAACCCTTCGTCTATAGTGTCTGTCTATGCGGAGTGCACTAACTGCATCGTCATGTATATAATTAACTACTCGTGGTCTTTAGATGTGAAAGACCCATCAACTGGAAATTATACTGAACTACCTTATTTGGAGCACTATGTAGACTCAGGTATGATATAAGGTTTGCACACATGGAGTATATACTGACCGTCGTACCCTTGTCTGCGTTTTGAGCACGTGCGCTTATGCGCGTGCGCAGTGATTGGTTGGCAAGAACTGGTCATTTGCGTCAGAAACTATTTTAAAGGCGCTGTCGTAATGAAATATACATGTGTGTTTCCCTGTTAAAAACAATTTGTGAACAACATTGTCACAACAGGTCGTGGGATATTGCTGATCGGTAAGCTGCATTTGTTATTGGACATTCACATGCTGGTTAGCACAAATGTCAATGTATGACGTCACGGTGCGGTGGCTTAATGTCGATGGGCAATGATACATCATAGCACTGAATATCTCGTCATATTTAAGAGTGACTTTTGTAGTTTGATAACATACTATCGACATAAGGATTATTTGTAGTACACGGATCTCATCAACTTACTTATG